GAATTCATCGGAGCAATCAGAGCAGCGAAGAGTCGACTGACCAATCAGAGCAGAGGAAAACCATCTGACCAACCAGTGAAAAAACAACTAGAGTCATCTGACCAATCAATGCAGAGTCATCAGACCAATCAGAGCAAAACCAAGTAGTCATCTGACCAATCAGTCCAGAGAAGAGTCAGCTGACCAATCAGAGCAAAACCAAGTAGTCATCTGACCAATCAGTGCAGAGAAGAGTCAGCTGACCAATCAGAGCAAAACCAAGTAGAGTCATCTGACCAATCAATGCAGAGAAGAGTCATTTGACCAATCAGACCAGAGAATGGTCATCTGACCAATCAGAGCAAAACCAAGAAGAGTCATCAGACCAATCAATGCAGAGAAGAGTCAGCTGACCAATCAGAGCAAAACCAAGTAGAGTCATCTGACCAATCAATGCGAAGAAGAGTCAGCTGACCAATCAGAGCAAAACCAAGTAGAGTCATCTGACCAATCAATGCGAAGAAGAGTCAGCTGACCAATCAGAGCAAAACCAAGTAGAGTCATCTGACCAATCAATGCAAAGAAGAGTCAGCTGACCAATCAGAGCAAAACCAAGTAGTCATCTGACCAATCAATGCAAAGAAGAGTCAGCTGACCAATCAGAGCAAAACCAAGTAGAGTCATCTGACCAATCAATGCAGAGAAGAGTCAGCTGACCAATCAAAGCAAAACCAAGTAGTCATCTGACCAATCAATGCAAAGAAGAGTCAGCTGACCAATCAGAGCAAAACCAAGTAGAGTCATCTGACCAATCAATGCAGAGAAGAGTCAGCTGACCAATCAAAGCAAAACCAAGTGGAATCATCTGACCAATTAGAGGAATTTAAAGGTGTAACTGGGCTAATTAAGGCTTACTAAACAACAGGCTCATAATTAGTAAAGTCATTAAACAAAAACAAGTTTCAATAAAACAAAAGTTCCCGACAGCCTTGCAGGCAGTATCCCAACATATAAGGCCAACCATTTTATTAAATTTTTTTTAATGCCCCTCTTTAAGATATGAATATGGTTTATACTATTATTGTGATACTTTTCTGATATATTGTACAGCCCTACCAAATACAGAAGCACTTACAAAGCCACTGAAATAGCACTAAAATATAGCCAAATGTAAAATATGGTGTAAAATTAAATCAACACAAGCAGCAAACTGATTCAAGATGAAGACTAACAAAGCTGACAGAAGAGGACCTGTACATCGCTCTTTCAGCAGTTCAGACACATAAAAACACTCTCTCTGTCCTCTCGTCAGGTGAAAAACGCAAACACTTAAGCGTCTTTCTTCTCTTTATTGGCTGCATTAAAGGATGATCGGATTGAATCACTGTTCAGCTCTTATTAGACACACTGAGGTCATTCTTTCTCGTCTCAGGTCAAAGAAAAGTCTGAGGCCTTTAATCCGTCTCTTATTTAACAGTACAAGGATTCAAGACCCGAATGATCAGAATAAATCACACAGACGGGGCCATTATTGAACAGATTGGAGAAATCAGTGCAAAGACAGTTTCCAACTTTTCTTTTTAAGGTCATTATTTCTTTTCTTGGGTGCAAAAAATAGTGTTACGGAGACATGACTAATGCAGCGTGAGAGCAGTTATATAAGAGTTCTGGGAAATAACTGAGAGTGTGTATAAATTTCATTCCGTTCTTCACGTTAAAGTGCTCCTATTATACGCTTTTTCAGATATTACCTTTGACGCAGTGTGTAATGTAACTGATTGCTAATGTAAAAGGTCTGCGCAGTTTCAAAGATGAAGCGATTCTGAACAGGCCAGCAGTAATACAGTCTTAATTCCTGCACAACACTATGCTGGGTTGTAGTTGATTTGCATAATGGCTGCATGTGGACGACACGTTTACTAATGGTGTGGAAGAGCTGAAATTCGAGTCATGAGAGTTTGTTTTTTTTCAAGCAATTGGTCACAAAAGACCAATTTGACCAATCAGAGCAGAGTAGAACAATTTGACCTATCAGAGCGGAGAAGAACCATGTGAGAAATTGGAGCAGTGGCATTGTCCAATCAGAGCAGAGTTTTTTTTTAAAAGCTTCTGAAATAAGAAGACTCATCTGACCAATCGGAGAAAAACCATGTAGATTCATCTGACCAATCAGAACTAGAACAGAGTAGTGCCAACTGACCAATCAGAGTAAAGCAGACTCATCTGACCAATCTGAGTAAAACCAAATAGAGTTTTCTGACCAATCAGAACATATTCCAATCGGATAAGAACAGAGTAGAATCATCTGCCAAATCAGAATAGAGACATCTAGACATCAGACCAATCACAGCAAAGCTATAGAGATTCATCTAGAAAATTGGAACACATTCCAACTGGACCAGAATAGAGTAGTGCCAATTGACCAATCAGAGCGCAGCAGACTCATCTGGCCAATCCGACTAAAACCAGAGTCATCTGACCTGAAACAGAGTAAAGCAGAGTAAAACAGAGTAAAGTCAACCGACCAATCAGAACAGATTCCCATCTGAGCAGAAGAGAGCAGTATCCTCTGACAAATCAGAACAGAGCAGACAAGAGTCATCTGACCAATCAGAGCAGAAACAGTCAGCTGACTAAGCAGAGAAGAGTCGTCTAACCAATCGGAGCACAGAAGAGTAAGCTGACCAATCAGAGTAGAAGAGAGTTGTCTCACCAGTCAGAGCAGAAAAGGTCATCTGACCTATCAGAGCAGAGAGAGTCATTTGACCAATTACAAAATCATCAGAGCAAAGCCAAGTAGAGTCATCTGACCAATAAGTGCAGAGAAGAGTCGTCTGACCAATTAGAGCAAAACCAAGTGCAGCCATCCAATCCGAGCAGAACCAAGTAGAGTCATCTGACCAATCGCAGCATTTTGTTTGTTTTTCATTTTGTGAAGGATCGAAATAGTCTCTGACTTTGACCAAAGCATTTGTCCCTATACTGGTCAACAACAGAACAGGATATCCCTGCATCTCTAAACCCACACTTTCTCACTCAGGACACACAGGAGGACTTTCCTGAACATTGATTGATAGATTTAATTAAGGCAGCAGTAAACGAGGCTCTTCTATTGGACAATTAGATGTATGATTAATAAACACTATTAGTGGGACAAAACCGTCCTCAAGTGCTCATTATATAATGAATGAGGAGATGTAGAGACACACTTACTCTACAAAGAAATGAAAACTAGCTAAGACTGTGTGTGTACGTGAATATGAGCTTAATATAGAACCTTTAGTTGGGAAACCAATATGATTTTGTCATTATGTTTTAACTTTAAAACATACATTCTGAAGCAGCTGAAGAGGCTTGATAGAGTTAGCTGGAAGCTCGGCTAGTAGAGAGTTGCAGTAATCCAGTTTGGAGAGAACAAGAGCTTGAACAAGGAGTTGAGCTGCATGTTCAGATGGGAAGGGTCGGACCTTTCTAATGTTATAGAGTGCGAATCTGCAAGATCGAGCAGTTCTAGAAATGTGGTCAGAGAAGTTTAGTTGGTCATCAATCATTGATTCAAGGCTTTTCACCATTTTGGATGCAGTAATGGTTGCCCCATCCATCTGGATTGAAAAGTTATGATGTAGAGTCGGGTTGACAGAAACTTCAAGCATTTCCATTTTCGCCAGGTTAAGCTGAAGATGATGATCTTTCATCCAATGTGAAATGTCTGACAGGCAGGCTGAGATGCGAGCTGGAACCGAGGGAACATCAGGGTGAAAAGAGAGGTATAGCTGGGTATCATCAGCATAGCAGTGGTAGGAAAATCCATGTTTCTGGATGACTGATCCTAAAGATGTAGATGGAGAAGAGAAGTGGCCCAAGAACAGAGCCCTGAGGTACCCCGGTGTTGCTGTAGGTTGGACACCTCTCCCCAATATGCATCTTTAAAAAGTCTGAAGTACTTTAAGTGTCGCAGATCTGTAAATAAACTCTTGTTAGTATTTTAGCATTGCTAATTAGCACTGCTAACATGCTGTTCCTTTTTTTTCTAGGAATTCAGCCCCCAAAGGCCAGTCATTGAACTGCAGTTGCAGTTACTTCCGTATTAGCTTCTTGAGGGAGAGCGGGACGTTGACGTTTGGTATAAACACTGTTTAACTGAAAACGAAAAGTTGTACAAAGAAGTACTTTAATAATCAGCTTTTCAAAGTAGAAACACAGATGCTCCTGTTTCATCTGACGACCTCATTCCACTCGATTAATCTAGAAATAAAGGTCACTCTAGTTTCTCTCTAACTCTCTTTATCAGTGTAAGTCTGCCGTGTGTATCAGAGTGTGTGTGTGTTCGGCTCCTACAAGACTCTCAGACCGCACGCAAAATTATTCATTTTTCCTTCCATCTAGAGTTGTGGGCCGTGCTCTATCCTGGTCGCCCGCTTGGCACGGCACACTAATCAGCCGTGACGTGTTGAAAAGGCCTGGTGTTTTGTATCCGCATGGCTAAAGCTCTCACCAGGGCAAGACAATCTATTATAAGAGCCCGGGAAGAAGATGAGGTGCAGGCGGGAGAGAGGGAGAAAGTCAAAATGGGGGGCAATCTTTCTGCTGGCTCCAGAGAATCATTAGTCAAACTGTCTGAGGAGGAGAGAGAGGGAGAGAGAGAGAGAGAGAGAGAGTCACACCTTTAAGGCTATGACTTAAGGAAGTGACATCATTTGACGGAGCAGAAGCTAACAGTGATCAAGGATGCGTTCTGTCATTGAATTGTATGATTTTATACTTGCTTTGTGGTTTTTATTTGAGGATGACAAGCTTTCAAGAGTCAGGTCAGGCCCTGTCACAATTTTTATAAGTGAAAATGTACAATATTTACATTTAATATTTTATTCAGCAATTTATTTTGCAATATGGGCCTTTAATTAACGTATTTAAGACGTATTTTATGCTTTAATATTTCATTTTATATTCCATTATTACCTCTTTCAGAATCAAGAATCAAACATTTGCCCTGAAGTTCTAAATAAAGTGAGAAAAACAATCCCATATTAACGAGCACATTCTGTAGCAGAACCCCAGGCTGAACTATCCACTGTTTTAACAAACACAGAGGTCGTGTGGTGCTATAACTGCAGTCCAGATCCATAATGCAGTGCATGTAGAAATGGAGAAAAAATACAAAAGTCGTTTAGTAAGGCCTTTTGGCCACTTAAACGCACCGTATGATTGCACTTCATGGCATCTTGCATGTTAAAAATATTTAAAAATAGATAACCAGATGTGAAGTCACCTTTTGGTGTTGTTATGGTCAAATTATTGGCTGCTGCCATGATGATTACACCAGCTCTGACAATAATACGCTGTGGAAATGTAGCGCTAGTTTAAAGAACTAGAAATATGCCGCAAAGTGGATCTCATGATGTATTAATATGTGATTGAGCATTTGTGAATGGTCATGTGATACAAGACACTTCGTAGGATAAGAAATGCAGACATTCTCAACAAACTCATCGTCATCCAAAAGCACAGATGTGGAGTTTTCTTTTATTTGTCTTTGACAGACGTCCCCATGAGAAACTGCTGTCAGGATAGATACGATACGTTTCTTTGAATTTGTGTATGTAAATATTTGATATTATTTGAGATCTTGGGTCAGAGAAATGCAGATTAAAGCATTAGGGATTAAAGTGTCAATGCTCTGATTGTTCAGCTCAGGCCTGCTATTAGCCTGATTACTGTCATTATCACACAGACAGTTAATGACACATTTGGCGCATTCGTTATTGTGGCGGCACGTTTAATCACAATATAACAGTCCAATATGATGATTATCAGAGTACTTTCACTGCAAGGTGATTGTGAAGGTAATATAACGGAAAAGATGAAATCAGAGAGACAAAAGTGAGAAAAAAAGGAAAACAATGGAAAGACAAAACAATGACGTGTGATTAAAAGAATCGCAAAAAACACGCGCACTTCAGCATCGCAGAATAACAATGACAAATGAGAACGGAAAGATATCAGACAGGATGAGATCAGACAAACAGAGATACAATAAGACAAGAGAGAAGAGCAGAGGAGAGGGAAACAGACCTGAGATGGGATGAAAAATAAGATTAACTGAGACAAGAGACTAAGATGAAGACGAGGTAAGGTGAGATGAGACGACAGTGAGAAGACAAGGAGACTTAAGAATGGACAACAATAAAGAGATGAGACAAAATTGAGACAAGAGCGGCGTCCCAGATGACACACCATCAGGGTGGAGCAAGCTGAGCTGCCGCTCTAGGCAAAAAACGGTCACGCCGCCCCCAACCCCAACCCTCTGTATTCTGCCGACCTAGACGTGGATATAGCTGAGGGTGCGGGTGGTGAGGGTAGTGTTGGGGATGCCGCCCTCTCTATTCTGCCACATTAGACATGGATATAACTGAAGCCGTGGGTGGTAAGGGTAGTGTCAGGGACGCGGATATAACTGTGGGCACGGGTGGTGAGGGTATTGTCTTGGACGCGGATATAACTGAGGACGCAGGTGGTGAGGGTAGAGTTGGCGACGCCGCCCTCTCTATTCTACCGCACTAGACGCAGACATAACTGAGGGCGCAGGTGCTGAGGGTAGTGTCGGGGATGCGGACATAACTGAGGGCGCGGGTGGTGAGGGTAGTGTCGGGACGCCGCGCTCTCTATTTTACCGCACTAGACACGGACATAACTGAGGGTACGGATGGTGAGGGTAGTATCGGGGATGCAGACATAACTGAGGGCCAGGTGGTGAGGGTATTGTCGGGGACGCTGCCCTCTCTATTCTACCGCACTAGTCGTGGACATAACTGAGGGTGCGGATGGTGAGGGTAGTGTTGGGGATGCGGACATAACTGAGGGCGCGGGTGGTGAGGGTAGTGTCGGGATGCCGCACTCTCTATTCTACCGCACTAGACACGGACATAACTGAGGGTGCGGATGGTGAGGGTAGTGTCGGGGATGCGGACATAACTGAGGGCGCGGGTGGTGAGGGTAGTGTTGGGGACGCCGCCCTCTCTATTCTACCGCACTAGACGCAAACATAACTGAGGGTGCGGATGGTGAGGGTAGTGTCGGGACGCCGCCCTCTCTATTCTACCGCACTAGACGCGGACATAACTGAGGGTGCGGATGGTGAGGGTAGTGTCGGGGACGCGGACATAACTGAGGGCGCGGGTGGTGAGGGTAGTGTCGGGGACGCCGCCCTCTCTATTCTGCCCCCCTAGGCAGCCGCCCAGGTCGCCTCTATGGACGTGCCAGCCCTGCACTTGGAGCACCAAATGGAGCACTAACATTTTTAATGACGTTCGATTGTTGCCACATCAGTGAAATACTCCTGCAATGAGTATAACCGCATTCAACATCATGAACCGCCAACTATTCCAGCATATTACACAATGGATGCCCTTCCAGCTGCAACCCAGTGCACACTCATTCACACACACACACTCAAACACTACGGCCAATTTAGCTCATCAATCCCCCTATAGCGCATGCATTTGAACTGTGAGGGAGGAAACCCACACCAACATGGGGAAAACATGCAAACTCCACA